TAAAGATTATTGGTGGCAGTGGACCCAGAACCATACAGCCCCCATCAAATGGGTGAGGACAACAAGCCACAGCTCCAGGAACCCTAGCAACCTCTGGAGGAAACCTAGGGCTCTATGGACCCCTGATAAAGAATGGCTGCTCAACTTTTGTTGTGTTTTATGTGTACAAAAATTTTATTGTAACTTTTTTACAATTCTATATTTCAATAATAATTGGCAGGGCTTTTTCCTCAGAGAATAGGTGCAGGAACTCCCCCTTTCTTAATCACCCCTTGTCTCCGCCTCCTACCCACCTCTGAGCACCATATTTTGGTTCCACCCACTACCCACCTCCCAGTACCACCACTTTTGGATAATACAGAGCCAATTATAATTTTGTGGTGCTAAGTAATTTGTATATAATTTGTTAATGATAGCAAAAACCAGAAAAATAGATCCCTTGCCACCAGCAACAATAGACCCACCAGCAACAATAGACCCCCATACAACAATAGATCCCCATCAACAATAGACAACCCCCCCAGCAACAATATTCCCCCCTACAACAATATACCCGCACAAGATGTCCCCACAACAATAGACCCCCAGAAAAAGGAAATTACCAGCACCCTATGTAACGGAAACCCGACCGCACTTGGGTATATTCCGTTATACTGCAGCTTCCCCTGTCCAAACACCATCCATGGACCACACCCTTGAAATCCCTCAGGAAACAGACAGCACCCAGCTCTTCCTAATACAGGAAGCCAACTCTTTATTTTAACACAAAACACAGAATATATACAGAGGGCGGGGAAAGACAACCAGGGACAGGAAACACCTCATCAGCCCACCCTATCAGTGGGAAGGGCTACAGTATAGGCAGGAAACACCTCATCACCCCTCCCCATCCAACCAAGACACAGAACAATGGAATGCAGCCATGCGGCAAAGGACATTGACCAAACCCCCACACCAATACACAAACAGTTCATCCCATAATAGTTAGCTGGACAGGAAGGCACAGCACCATGGGGGGGGAGCACATGGCAAACAAACAATGGACAGCCATGTGGCCTAGACAAAGGACAACACACAAATGCACAATACTGGGACATTCACATGTACACCCTGTACCCTTAAACAGGCACAGGGTGGGTTAAACATAATGATTTGGGGAGATGATACAGGGGTCCCCCCACCCCCAAAAGTCACTCCCGTCACACCCTATTACCCCCATTCCTTCCATACAGGGGCGGACTGACTATTTGGAAACTCAGGCACTGCCCGAGGGCCTGGGGTCAGTAGGGGGCCCCATGAGATGCCCCTGGTACCTTTTTCATAGGCTTTTTTGAGTTTGGGCAAGGACACAGGGGCCCCATGATCCCCTATTGCCCGGGGGCCCCATGAGTTGTCAGTCTGCATATGGACAGGACCCAGAAGGAAGAGCGGGAGAAGATTGGCGCTCCTGTGATAGTCGAGAGCACTCACCCCAAAGAGCTAAAAAGGATCAGTTGGTAGGTAAGACTCCATAGTGTGCTAATATGCTGTGCATTCTATTACATTATGCCATAAAGCTCCGGGGGGACAATTTTTTTTTTTTTTTTAGAAGGTTTAACTCCACTTTAAGTATTATGTTTTAGCTATTTGTTTTCTGGGTTTTTCTTTATATATATTTCTATGTAACATATTTCTTTAAACATGTTTGTCAGTTGTGTTGATTTTTGTCAGTTGGCCCCATGAGTTGCCAGTCCGCCCCTGCTTCCATATTCCTTTCCCAGAACATTTAAATTGAAGGTATATAACTTTGTTATATATTTGGACAAATGCTGACTATTTCACTGTTCATTATACTGTAATATATATACTGCACATTGCATACCTACTGTATATAAATGTTTGTCTTTTTAAAAATTTAATACAACCAAGATTTATAAAAAAAAAAAAAAGAATTGGTTTTAAATGTTTAGGGTCAGTACATAATGTGCACTATTTAACATCTGATTTTTTATTTTTTACAATCACATTTTATTTTCAGCATTTGTGTTGACTTTTTCCAGTTATTTTGTTAATTTAATTAAGGTTCCTCCATATTACAGTTTTCAGAGAAATTTTATCAAAGAGATCCTTTTAACTCTCAGGAAAGACTTTAATTATTCAGATTCATCAAAGGTCAGAAGTGTATTGTTTTGAGAAATGATTTTAGAAGTGCATTGGAGACATTGGTTCACGATATTGTTGGAGGTTAAACACTTCACCATTACAATATTTATACCCCAGACGAGAACAATGTTCACATTTCCACTAAGGGCCTACCAATTTTGCAATAATTTTGCCACTACGACACCAAAATAATACATATCAATATTTTCAGGGCAAACAAAGTTTTCTTTTCTGTCTTACAAACATTATTACTCTACAGGCAAAACAGAGAAAAAAATCTTCTAGTTTGACTATCAATAGTTTTAGAAAAATTAGTACAATTGTAGTTAAAATGTGCCAATTTTATTTTAGCATTTGTCATTTTTATAATGATACTAAAATCAAATGCTAAAAAAATCAACACAACTGACAAACATGTTTAAAGAAATATGTTACATAGAAATATATATAAAGAAAAACCCAGAAAACAAATAGCTAAAACATAATACTTAAAGTGGAGTTAAACCTTCTAAAAAAAAAAAAAAAATTGTCCCCCCGGGAGCTTTATGGCATAATGTAATAGAATGCACAGCATATTAGCACACTATGGAGTCTTACCTACCAACTGATCCTTTTTAGCTCTTTGGGGTGAGTGCTCTCGACTATCACAGGAGCGCCAAACTTCTCCCGCTCTTCCTTCTGGGTCCTGTCCATATGCAGACTGACAACTCATGGGGCCCCCGGGCAATAGGGGATCATGGGGCCCCTGTGTCCTTGCCCAAACTCAAAAAAGACTATGAAAAAGGTACCAGGGGCATCTCATGGGGCCCCCTACTGACCCGGGGCCCTCGGGCAGTGCCCGAGTTTCCAAATGGTCAGTCCGCCCCTGGTCCTGTCTCTTTGGCTGCTTTCTTGGCCAAGCCATGCACACAAGCATGAGAGTTACATCATCAGCTCATACGCAGCTCAGCATTCACATACGCAGCTCAGCATTCATTAATGCTGCCGGGTAGGGGGGAGCAGTTATGACAGAAGAGACAAATAGGATCTCTTCAGTCACAAAAATCCTGCCTGTCATCATTTCTTAATTTTGGAGAGTTTAATTCCACTTCAAGGTGAGGATTGAAAAGCGTTAAGTAGGGCTGAGTATGGTTAACAGCGGGGAACAAGGACCAGGTCATATGCAATACACCCAATAAATTTTAATTACATTTTCTAGAGTGAGCCTTCTACACACAAGGTCTACAACTGGTTACCATATCTGAGGTAGTGTAAATGTGGTGGTGGTGGTGGGATATGCTATACACATTCAGCATTCCGTGGACATACAGTGCACACAATGGCCACCTTATTAGGTAATGCTACATAGTTAGTCTGGCTGAAAAAAGACAAAAGTCCATCCAGTTCAACCATGTATTATATGTATTATACATGGAGATCATATCCCCCCTTATGTATTATACATGGTGATCATATCCCCCCCTTATGTATTATACATGGAGATCATATCCCCCTTATGTATTATACATGTTCATCATATCCCCCCTTATGTATTATACATGGAGATCATATCCCCCTTATGTATTATACATGGAGATCATATCCCCCTTATGTATTATACATGGAGATCATATCCCCCCTTATGTATTATACATGGAGATCATATCCCCCTTATGTATTATACATGGAGATCATATCACCCCCTTATGTATTATACATGGAGATCATATCCCCCTTATGTATTATACATGGAGATCATATCCCCCCTTATGTATTATACATGGAGATCATATCCCCCTTATGTATTATACATGGAGATCATATCCCCTCTTATGCATTATACATGGAGATCATATCCCCCCTTATGTATTATACATGGAGATCATATCCCCCCTTATGTATTATACATGGAGATCATATCCCCCCCTTATGTATTATACATGGAGATCATATCCCCCTTATGTATTATACATGGCGATCATATCCCCCCTTATGTATTATACATGGAGATCATATCCCCCCTTATGTATTATACATGGAGATCATATCCCCCCTTATGTATTATACATGGAGATCATATCCCCCCCCCCTTATGTATTATTATACATGGTGATCATATCCCCCCTTATGTATTATACATAGAGATCATATCCCCCTTATGTATTATACATAGAGATCATATCCCCCCTTATGTATTATACATGGAGATCATATCCCCCCTTATGTATTATACATGGAGATCATATCCCCCTTATGTATTATACATGGAGATCATATCCCCCCTTATGTATTATACATGGAGATCATATCCCCCCCTTATGTATTATACATAGTGATCATATCCCTCCTTAATCTCCTTTTCTCAAGAGAGAATAAATTCAGTTCCTCTAATCTTTCCTCATAGCTGAGCTCCTCCATGCCTCGTATCAGTTTGGTTGCCCTTCTCTGTACTTTCTCCAGTTCCCCAATGTTCTTTTTGTGAATTGGTGCCCAAAACTGAACTGCATATTCCAGATGAGGTGTTACTAATGATTTGTACCGGGGGAATGATATCTCTCTCTGGAGTCTATACCTCTTTTAATACAAGAGAGGATTTTGCTCACTTTAGAAACTGCAGCTTGGCATCGCATGTCATTATTAAGCTTGTGATCTACCAGAACCCCCAGATCCTTCTCCACCATTGATTCCCCCAGTTGTACCCCCCTAGTATGTATGATGCATGCATATTCTTAGCCCCCAAGTACATAACCTTACATTTATCAACATTAAACCTCAGAGTCCCAACACTGAACGTTGGGGTACACCACTGACACCCCTAGACCATTCAGAGTATGAATCATTAACCACTACTCTCTGAATACCATCTTTTAGCCAGTTTTCTATCCATTTACATACAGATTTTCCAAGCCTGTAGAATTTACCTTACACATTAGCTGTGTGTGGGGAACTGTGTCAAATGCTTTTGCAAAATCCAAGTATACCACGTCCACCGCCACCCCTCTGTCCAAGTATACCACGTCCACCACCACCCCTCTGTCCAAGTATACCACGTCCACCACTACCCCTCTGTCCAAGTACATCACGTCCACCGCCACCCCCTCTGTCCAAGTATACCACGTCCACCGCCACTCCTCTGTCCAAGTATATACCACGTCCACAGCCACCCCTCTGTCCAAGTATACCACGTCCACAGCCACCCTCTGTCCAAGTATACCACGTTTACAGCCACCCCTCTGTCCAAGGTTTTCCTCGCCTTCTCATAACAATAAATCTGATTTCTTTGACAACTTCTGTCTTTCATGAATCCATGCTGTCTGTTGCTTAAAATATTTTTTTCCAGCAAGAACTCATCTTTGTGGTCTTTTATTAAACTCTCCAGTATCTTTCCAACTATAGAAGTTAAACTAACAGGTCTATAATTACTTGGTAAAGATTTTGACCCCTTTTTATATATTGGCACCACATTGGCCTTACACCAATCCAGTGGTACTATGCCAGTCATTAAAGAGTCTCTAAAAATTAGAAACAATGGCTTTGAAATGACAGAGCTCAATTGTTTAAGGCCCCGTGGGTGTATGCCATCCGGTCCAGGTGCTTTATTCACCTTTATTCTGTCTAAATATTTCTGGATCTTATCAATTGTGAGCCAATGTGGATCATCTGGAGCTGTGTCAATACCATGCCCATTATAGACAAGAGCTCCCTCATACTCCTTTGTATACACAGAGCTGAAGAAGGGATTTAATAAATTTACCTTCTCTTTGTCCCCAGTCACCCACTCCAGATTATTTTGTAAAGGGCCTACATGCTCGGACCGGACCTTTTTACTATTAATATGTTTGAAGAATTATGAGTGCACCAAATGCCTTTTCAAACCTGGATATGATCTTGTAAAAGTTGCAGTGATATCATGTGCTACACATAATCTGTACACAGTGCAGAGCTGTGGGAGGGACCAAACAGGCCCCACCCACTACAGGCTGCCTGCAGAAAACTACAGGAGGGGGCAGAGACAAGAGCAATCACCCTGCACAGGGAGAGAGAGCAGCAGTGAGCGGTCTTTATCACAGGAGGGAAAGTCTCACACTGGATCACTGCACAAATAATGAAGAAATACACAAAGTACACCGAGATTCAAGAAGAATACACATGACATATGGGCTTATTCAATATTTGCTTATCCCGGGGTCCAGTTTTATCAGGTATATCAAAACAAATACAATTATTATTATTTTTATAATATATACAGTATATGTATGCTGGCCTAATATCCACTTTCCCTTTATGGGATTTCCAATGTGTATTGTAATTGTGCACTACATATTATACAGGTGTACCGTAATTTTACAAATGAAAATCCATGAAAAATGCCTCAGTTTACGGTTTGTTTGTTTTTCCAATATGAAGCATTCATAGCACCACCACCTGCCTTTAAAGTGCACTTCATAAAGAATTTTGAACAGATAAGACTTATTTTGACTTTTTCTGATTTTCTGACCTCTGGAACGGATTAATTGGTTTTCAATGCATGTACAAATTTTCTTTTATTCATGTCCCTGTACAGTATTTATGCCTTTAAAGTGCGCTTTATAAAGAGTTCTGAACAGATAAAACTTTTTTTGACTTTTTTTTTACCTCTGGAATGGATTATTTGGTTTCAGTGCATTTATGAATTAATTTTTAATCATATCCCTGTACAGTATTTATGCCTTTAAAGTGCACTTTATAAAGACTTTTGAACAGATAAGACTTTTTTTTTACCTTTTTCTGATTTTCTGACCTCCGGAATGCATTAATTGGTTTTCAATGCATTTACAATTTTTTTTTTTTAAATCATGTCCATGTACAGTATTTATGCCTTTAAAGTGCACTTTATAAAGACTTTTGAACTGATGGAAGGAGGTTTGCACTCAAAATCTCACGAGACATGGCCCCATTCATTCTGTCCTGTACATGGATCAGTCGTCCTGGTCCCTTTGCGGAGAAACAGCCCCAAAGCATGATGTTGCCACCCCCATGCTTCACAGTAGGTATGGTGTTCTTTGGATGCAACTCAGCATTCTCTCTCCTCCAAACACGACGAGTTGTGTTTCTACCAAACAGTTCTATTTTAGTTTCATCTGACCATATGACATTCTCCCAATCCTCTTCTGGATCATCCAAATGCTCTCTAGCAAACTTCAGACGGGCCCGGACATGTACTGGCTTAAGCAGGGGGACACGTCTGGCACTGCAGGATCTGAGTCCCTGGCGGCATAGTGTGTTACTGATGGTAGCCTTTGTTACGTTGGTCCCAGCTCTCTGCAGGTCATTCACTATTTTCCCTCGTGTGGTCCTGGGATTTTTGCTCACCGTTCTTGTGATCATTTCGACCCCACAGGGTGAGATCTTGCGTGGAGCCCCAGATCGAGGGAGATTATCAGTGGCCTTGTATGTCTTCCATTTTCTAATTATTGCTCCCACAGTTGATTTGTTCACACCAAGCTGCTTGCCTATTGCAGATTCAGTCTTCCCAGCCTGGTGCAGGTCTACAATTTTGTTTCTGGTATCCTTTGACAGCTCTTTGGTCTTCACCATAGTGGAGTTTGGAGTGTGACTGTTTGAGGTTGTGGACAGGTGTCTTTTATACTGATAACAAGTTCAAACAGGTGCCATTGATACAGGTAATGAGTGCAGGACAGAGGAGCCTCTTAAAGAAGAAGGTACAGGTCTGTGAGAGCCAGAAATCTTGCTTGTTTGTAGGTGACCAAATACTTATTTTCCACCATAATTTGCAAATAAATTCTTTCCAAATCAGCCAATGTGATTGTCTGGATTTGTTTTCTCATTTTGTCTCTCATAGTTGAGGTCTACTTATGATGCCAATTACAGGCCTCTCTCATCTTTTTAAGTGGGAGAACTTGCACAATTGGTGGCTGACTAAATACTTTTTTGCCCCACTGTAGATATACGTGATTTTACACACCCGTGCCACCCTGTAGCAGTATTTCTGCTATAGGGCGATCGGAAAGCAGATAAATAATAGTAGATTGCAGTGGTAGCATGTACCTGGTAGCAGAGACTGATATGATGAGGAAGGTCTCTCTCACACCTCTGACTCGGGGGCCCCTGATAAGGTATACAAGGGCCGGTGTCCACGCTGGGCAGGTGAAGTCGTCAGAAGGCTCCAGTAAGCAGGCAAGCTGGTAGGCAGCAGACAGAGGCAAGCAGCTGAGACGGTTGCTGGTAGCGGACTGTGGGTCAACCGGAACAGCAGGGTACCGGGGACAGAAGCAGAGTCAGGCAGGCCGGGTAATACAAAAACATGATGGACCGGGGGTACAGGACACAGGCAAACCAATCAATGAAGCAGGAGCCAATGGAGCAGACAGAAGCGGAGGTCAGAGGACACGTCAAGGTCAGTGCAGGCAGAGTTCAGAGAGTAGTCAGGACAAGCTGGGTCAGCAATTGGAATCAGGATACAGAATACACAGGATCACAGGAGGGTGAAGACAAAGCAGCTGATCCTAAGCACTGGCCCAGTTTCAATAGCCAACATCTATCACAAGTGAATACAAGCGCACGTGCGGCCGGGTATGCTCATTAGCATTTCTTCGAGCACAAAAGGGAACATGTTATAGCCTGTTCACAGAAGTTCTTCCAGAGGAGCCATCTTGTTTATTGGCATGCCCTTCCTTACAAGTAGGAGCATTTTTTTTCCCCCTCGTCTTTTCACCTCATCAGGTGACCAGGGCCAGTCTATTCTCTTCTTCTATACATACATTACTTATTGTGATTGATGTTATGAATTTATTTCCAGATGGATCTTTATTTTTCTCTAGTATGTACAAGAAAGCTTATTCTTCAGTTCTAATGAAGTATGACGAAACGCGTAGACTCACCTAGATTCTCAAATTTTAGCTTCCTAGGTGTGTGTAATGTACCTATTTTTCATGTTAAAAGATAAGGTCACCTTTGGGAACTGAACCCGTTTTTAGGGTGGAACATGTAACATGTTTCCCATAGTTGCAGCTGTGCCCGCTGCCCCCCCCCCCCGGGAGATAATATGGGGAGAAGTTTCCATGTAACATTTGTCAAATTTGAAAACAGCACGGCCATGCGGGGCTCTGCCCACACGGCCGTGTCATTCTTTCATGGACTTCCGTGAATGAATGAATGAACTGCAAGTCCCAGCAGCCTTAGCGGTTGTCAGCTTGTAGTTTTCAAAGAACTATCACGGCGTTGTGGAGCTCCATAGTAGTTCATTGAAGCTCCCTCTCAGTATACTTGAGGAAGGTTAGCTTACATTTAAAGCTGACCTCCAGACAAAACAAATATTGTCTAAACACAAGACCAATGTGTATTATTCCTTGAATCTCGGTGCGCTTTGTGTATTTCCAGATCTGTGCAGTAATCTAGTGTGAGACTTTCCCTCTGTGCAGGAGCTTCCTGTAATAAAGACCACTCACTGCTGCTCTCTCTCCTGGTGCAGGGTGACTGGTCTTGTCTCCGCCCCCCCTCCTGTAGTTTTCTGCAGGCAGCCTGTAGTGGGTGGAGCCTGTTGGGCCCCTCATAGATGGGTGGAGCCTGTTGGGCCCCTCCCAGAGCTCTGCTCTCTGCACAGATGATGTCACTGCTACTTTTACAAGGTAATTTCTGAGTTTGCCAAGACATTTAGCCCACACAAGCCACATTTATATCCTTTCTGGCATTTGAAAAGATATTTCAGTGAAAGTTTTTGAGTCTGGAGTTCATCCACCAGTGTATATCTTTATCTCCATTCATAAGATTCCCTTTAAAGAAAAATCTTCCTTGGAAAAAAAAATGACCACAAATACTTCTCACTGTAAAAAGGACAGACACAGGTCGCTACAAAAGGGTTCATCATTACCAAAAATAATTCTTTCCCTTCTGTTCTGTACGGCTTAGGCAGCGCTAATATGTCCCCTGGGGTCTCGGAGCTGTTATGTAACCACAGGTAACCCCCAGTGGGGTATTTATGCTTTGTGCTGCCCTAGGCAACACAAAAATCGCCCCCCCCCCCCAGTGCACCCCCACTGTCTCTAGTGCACCAACGTTTGCTGGGTGGAACTTAGTGGTCGGCCATGTCTTTCTGTGAAGGTGTCATTAGTGCTATGAGCGGCGAGAAGGTGTCAGTTAGTGGTATGAGCAGAGGGAAGGTGTCAATTGGTGGTATGAGCGGCGAATTTCAAAGGTGTCATTAGGTGTGTTAGTGGTATGAGCGGCGGGA